AAATAAGAAATCAGGAAGGGGGCAAACACTTTTTCACACAACTGTACATATATATATATTTATAACTTTATTTCAGACACATGGGTCCATGTAGAAAGAAAAACAACAAATAAGTACAATACGAGGACACCAAAGCACAAGTATTATTGCAGTTCAAAAGTCAACAGTAGTTAAAAGACATGGAGACATTTGTTCCAATGTTTCCAAAAACAAGAGGAATACCTTGTGTTGCCTCAGTTAAAGCCGTTATGATGAAAACATTTTCATTCAATCAATCAACATTTAAATTTGCACATAAAACTCAACTCAGCATGAAAGGTGGGAACATTACTCGTCACAAACATACGGCGGCCACTTGTCCGTCTTGGGAGCCGGAGCAAGAATCTCAATGCATCATTAAATGCCACCTGAATATTTTTCACTTTTGCCGAACTGTAACTGCAGCACAAGTGGGCTGTGTGGAGTGGAGTACAGTGGGCTTTAAAAAGAGCTGTTTCAACATCATCTGTACACGTATGAAATTTACATGCCAGCATATCGGATTGTGCGTACAGTTTGCAACACTATCTTCCTTTGTTTACCACAATTAGCTCTTGGTCTGCCATAAAAAAAACGAAGGAAACTTTCCTCCTTGGTTTTAGCTGTCATGATAACCCTCGTTAAGAGTTGGATTTACTGCAGAAAAAATGTACTTTTTGACGTGAGCAGACTCTGAGCAGTAAACCAGCGCTACAAGGAGACAGGACGACTAATTCATCGACGTACATCAGATGGTTAATGAGACATTCCCCCACCTTACATCCTGTCTTACACTTCTTAGGAAGATCATCCATATATGTTTATAAATAAAGTATTATTAGTGGTAGTACTTTCATGGATCTGTTTCTTGTTTTTACTGTATACAGCTGATTTTGGGTTGGCCAGGATGTACGGCATCCCCCAGCAGCCCATGACGCCCAGAGTGGTCACACTGTGGTGAGTGTCTGCCAGGCCTCTCGGCCATGTTTACTGTAAATACGGTGTTAGCCTAATTCCCCTCATGTATGTGTGGACGTGTGCGTTGTGCACTGGAGGTAACCCTTGTGCTGCTTACTTTGTCCTTGTGCAGCCTCAGTGGTAAATCCTCCTTTTAATCTCTCTGAGTAATCCTCCCCCTTCATTGACCCCGTTAACTCGGGCTGACCAGGACTCGACTGTCACGATAATGTGCTCCTTCATCCCCCTCTCCTTCATCTGTTTGTAGGTACAGAGCTCCAGAGCTCCTCCTAGGGACCAAGACCCAGACTACAGCTCTGGACATGTGGTGAGGCTCCAACCTCTGGCATTATGAGACACCAACACACACGCATGTCAACTTTATACTGTTATTGCACCTCCAGTTCTGAAAAGTGAAGCCAGTGCTGAAGTGTTTTAAACTTGCATTCTCTCTAATGTCCACCAGGGGGCGACTCCTCTGGTTGTATAGAAGTCTATGAGAAAATGACTCTACTTCTCTCTTGATTTATTACCTCAGTAAACATTGTAAACATGAGTTTATGGTCTCAATCTCTAGTTTCAAGTCTTCTTCAATACAGCATGATGTTCATTTAGTAAATGATGGTCCATTTAGAGTCAAATAGACCATAAAGAAAGATATGCTTTAGGGCGGGGCTACCTTATATTTGATAGGTTGCCTACCAGAGACGTCTCTACCAAGGCGTAACTCACCCGCAAACCAAACAAGGTCACTTAGGTTCACTGGTTGCAAAAACGGCGAAAAAGGCAAGCTCAATGCTTCAAAACCGCAGTCCACAAACCAATTTAATGATGTCATGACTACTACGTCCACATCTTACATACAGTCTATGGTTTTATCACAATCACAGATATTGCAGACTTTCTCTCCAACCACATAAGGAGCCAATGGGAAAAGATGGCAGGAATTGTTGATAACACAGACATTTCCATGATGTTCTTTTGTTTTTTCAAAGGGCTGTCGGCTGCATCCTGGCTGAGCTGCTGGCTCACAAACCTCTGCTGCCTGGAACCTCTGAGATCCAGCAGGTCGACCTCATAGTTCAGCTGCTCGGAACACCCAATGAAAATATCTGGCCGGTGAGTACTTCAGCTCCCTACATGTCTCCAGCATGAACTAAACACTCTGTGATGTCTGGTGATGTTAAAGGGAATAGGTCAAATTGAGTTTGTTTGTGTTTGTGGTCACCCACAGGGTTTTTCTCAGCTGCCCCTCATCGGTCAGTACAGTCTGAGGAAGCAGCCGTACAACAACCTGAAGAATAAATTCACCTGGCTGTCTGAAGCTGGCCACAGACTGCTCAACCTGCTCTTCATGTACAACCCACAGCGCAGGTACAGACATACACATACACAGTGCTTTATTTCCCTGGATTCCATATCGGGTGGATTTAACAGTATCGGTATTTTTGATCAATAATTGACTATCGTCTTGTTTTCCTGATCCAGAGCTACTGCCAAAGATTCCTTGGAGAGTTCCTACTTCAAAGAGAAACCTCTACGTGAGTAAAAAAAAAGGTTTTTGGATCTGCATCAGCTGTAATCCCACCCTGCCCTCTGATAAGTCACTCGTCTTGACCCTCTGCTTCTCCGTGCAGCCTGTGAACCAGACCTGATGCCAACCTTCCCCCACCATCGCAACAAGCGGGCTGCTGCTTCGGCAGACAGCCACCCGAAACGGATGAAAGTGTGACGAAGATGGCAACGGTGAGACTCGACCCCCGTGGCGGTGGCGACATTCTCAGGAATGGACGTTGGTTTCTGCTCACGAGGACGTTTTACTCTGGAATGTTGAGCAAATGAGGACCTGTTCAATTAGCATCCATTTCAACACAGCTAAAGCCAACAAACTCCAATTAGAGGTCATCTAAAAAAGGCTGTAAGCACACCTTCTCTAATGCAGATCCAGTGTTTAGAGGTTGTCAGATTTCTTAATATTCGTATTGCTGCCAAGGTCTGCGCACTAAATAAAATGAAAGTAACGAGGGCTAAGTTGCCTCGACAAATGTCCTTTTGTGTCGAGCATTTGTCACATTTTAGATGTTCTATAAGAATCTGTGATCTGTGATCATTTTGGATTCCTAACATCAAAACGATAAGACTGTAAAAAGGCACGAGTAGAAGAAACTGAACCCACTTGCTTGAGCTCTGCCCACAGTTCCACTGGGTCTGCGTGACGGCCTCTCTTTAAGAGTATTTTTTAAACAGCATTGGCGAAAATACTGCCTTTACGACTCAAAGAAAACCAGAGTTTGTGGCAAAATGAAATGAAAAGGCAGCCTTGTTAAGATCTTAGGTTTGGTCCTCATAGCCATAAGTGAGTGTGTTTACAACCGGCTGCGTGCCCTGTCAAAGTGTCCTTGAGGTGAAATACTGAACTCCTGAACTTGCTCGCTTATTGTTAGTTGTTACAGGAGTTTGACTTTTTCGGAAATATGCTTATTCCCTTTATTTTATTTTATTAAGAGTTACATGAGAAGATTCAGGGTTCCCACTCTTTTCTAGAGATAATTCTCCAGGACATGTTTAGTGATGATCTAGCTGGTATGACAGACAGAAATCGCGCCATACACTAATGAATCTCCTTTTTCTCTTATGAATAATAGTAACCATTTATGCCTGAACACCAGTAAGACAAACAGTAGCCTACAATTTAGCTGAATGGCAAATCTAGCCTGAAAAATACCCAAATGTACCATTCAAAGCTCATCACACCATACTTTAGCCCCTTTACTAGCAATAGTAAGAGTCTTTATTAAGAAGACTATTCACACCCACTGTGAGCTGCCGCTACTAAAGTTAAACATGTAATGTCATGTCATGATCCATTTTACCTTAATAATGCTAGCAAAGTGAAACAGTACCGATAGCCGGAGTTTTGGGCTCACATTCATGTTTTTGAACCTATTGCTCAAAGCTAAAGTCAATTATCACAAAAACCTTTGCTGGCAAAACGAGCTAGCGTCAACTTTTAGCAAGTGAACCAAGCATGCTAATCAAACACTGCTATCATACGACGAGACTTGTTTCAGCATCGAGTTTCTGATACTTGACTGTGCTAAATATGTTTAAACCATCAGCTAATGAACATAATAAATAATGTAAAAACTATAAACTGTGCCATTTGTTTCATTTGAAATGTCAGTTTTTATTAATGCAGGTTAAATTAGTAGTAATGGTTACAGGGACGTTGATAATGGACCTCCATTGAACCAGTGCGTACCTCCTCACACACAGCGCTAGTAGCGCTATTGTTAACGTTAAAAAGATTATTTTAAGCTGACTAAGTGTGTCGTCCTGCTTGTAGCCAGTGGAGCTAGCTTTCCTTATCGTCTGTTAGCCGATAACGGGACAAATACCATTTCCGCTCAAGAAGGAAAGCCAGCCCCGAACACACAGTTTTGAAACAATATGGCGCCTGCCTCAGAGTAGAACTTGGTGTACATTTGCATCCCAAAACAACAAAAAACAAACATTGTCCTGAAACATCAACAAATAAATACTGCAAATGTAAACATACTGTATCTCTAGTATAGTCAGTCAAGTTGTAGAGATAGTGTTCTGCAACACTGTTCAACGATGCAAACTAAACTAACCGCTCAGACTCAAAGAGATGAGTTTGATCGATTCTCTTAAACATAAAGAAAAGGTATTTAGCTTCTGAACAGACTGCAACAAACTTCAATAAAAGAGGGGAAGACATCAGTCAAGACAGGTGTATTCTGGGAAATAGAGTGCAGAAAGCTGATTTAAATAGAGTAACAGGAGCTGAGATCGAGCTGAGTTCATTCTTGACGTTAGAAATGTCGTTTGAGGAAACAATCCCTGAGCTTTTTCGATCACATCACATGGTCTTCATCAGCAGATGGAGTTTGCATTTCATGAACGTCTCATCCGTGCTGGCTTAAGAGCTGTGGTGAATAAGGTCGTGATAAAATCGAATGCTTCGGAACAGCGACAAAATGTTGTTTCTCAACCTCAAATGTTAAACCACAGTGTACGAGAAGTTCTCACGGAAGAAAACGTTCATTGGAAAACTTCATCTGCTGACGAAGATCACGTGATATGACCAAAAGCTCCAGAATAGCTACAAAATGAACCTTGTGGTGAGATTGTTTTTCTTAGGAGCAACTTGAGGTTTACAACTGAGTTTTTCAATAAAGTTTTTGGATTGAGGAAATATGTTGCGTGGCTCTAAATCAAGCGCATCTCTTGTATTGTAAATATGAAACATGAGGTACAGAAACATGAGGTACAGGCCTGATGCAGACACACAGAGCTGTGGAGGGACACAGAGGCAGTGAGGATTCATTCATTGAACTCTTTATAAAAATAACAAAATAACAGGGTTCTCAACATAGAGACAAAATAAATTAAGAAACAAGTTTCATAAAAACACAAGATGCATTCACACACTCGCATGCCTGGCAGGAGAACTATCTTCTTCTTTTGTTCCTTCATCAAACGTCACTGTCCTTCATTGCGATCCAAAGCAAAGTGCACAAAGGCAAAACCAAAAAAAAAAGTACAGTCCTTCAGTCAGATAAAATGGGTTCAGAGAGGGACAAACTTAATGCATTTAGATTCTAATGCAGCTTTCCTCACGTCAATGCAGGTTAGATGAAACCTTCTTGTAGTGAACACGCTGTAGTGGCTGCTTTGTAATGCAAGATTGTCTGAAATGGGGGAAAGATGTGGACTCTATTGTCCATCATACCAAATCACACCAACATTTTCTATTGTAGCATTTGGTCAACTTCCTCCAAGAATTCAAAATCTCTGGCCCGGGTGATAAGAAGTCAAACAGACCGGTCCTTTATTTTGAAATCCATGAGAGGCAGTGAACCAAGTGCTCAGCTGAGAGATGAAAGCCTACAGGACGGTACAGCAGGTGTGTGGGCGGGGGGGGGGGGGGGGGGGGAGGGGGTGTGTGGGGGGGGGGGGTGGGCCTCTCGGCGGGGGGG